GCCCCCACCGGCTCCCCCCCGGGGCCGGACGGCGCCCCCGCCGACACCGGCAGCGACAGCAGCGACAGCAGCGACAGCAGCGACAGCAGCGACAGCGCAGCCAGGGCCAGCGGCAGCAGTGGCCGCAGTGGCCGCAGTGGCAGCGGTGGCAGCGGTGGCAGCGCCATCGGGCCCGGCGGGGCCCGGACCCCGGCGGCCATGGCCGAGGGAGGGGCGGGGCCGGGGCGGGGCCGGGGCCGAGTGCCCGCCTTTATGGGAGGGGGCGGGGCAAGACTGCAAAAGAGGCGGGGCCAAAGTCGGGCGGGGCTGTAGACAGGCCCCGCCCCCGGCGCCACGACCGAGCGCGGCGGGGGCGTGGCCGAGGAGGGGGCGTGACCAATGTACGCGGGGCTGAACGGGATGGGGCGCGGCCACCCGGGGCGGGGAGCCGCATGCAAATGAGGGAGCCGGGCCTACGTGAGCGCGCGAGGCACGATGGGAGATGGAGTCCTGGGGACGGCCGTGTTCCCTGGGGTTCCCCTCCCCGCGGGTCCCCCTCCCCTTCGTACGGTCACAGCCCCGGGGCGGCATCGGGTGCACCGGGCCCGGGGGTCCCATCCGCCCAGCTACCGCCGCCGCCGGGCTCAGCAGTTCCCGCAGCGGAGGGCCCCAGCCCGCAGACCCCCGAGCTTCGCGCGGTGCCGACCCCGCGTCCCGCCCGGGGCTGCCCCGCGGAGCCTCCGTGCCGGCGGGGCAGGAGCGCTGGGAACAGCGGCGCAGGTGGGCACGGGGTCAGTTTATTGTGACCGTAGCCGGGGAGCAGCGCGGGGAGACCCCGGCTGAGCTGGGCTGGGGGTGCCTCGACCTCCCTCAGCCTCCGACCTGCCCAGCCCCAGGGCTCCTCCCGCCCGCCCCTCGCCCCCACCCAGCCGGGACCCGGGGGCACTGGGATTGAGCGGGGCATGGTGGGCAAAGCTGTCCTGGGAGGGAGGGAGACTGGGGGTGCACCAGAGAGGGGCACGGGGGGTGCTGGCAGGGCAGGGTTTCATGCTCGGGGGGGTCCTGCTGGAGGTGTCCAGCTCGGGGAGCGGGTCCCAGACACTGGTGCTAGGGGGCCTAAGGGGATCTAGTTCAGGGATCCCGGGCTGCTGTGGATGGTGTAGCTGAACTTAGAGAGAAAAAGCCATGGGGGGCTTGTGGGGGTCCAGCTCATGTGGGCCCCAGGCACTGGTGTTGGGGGGCTCAAGGGGGGGCTCCAGCTCAGGGATGCCGGCTCAGGGGGGTCCCAGGCTGCTGACGGTGGTGTAGCTGAACTTGGAGAGCGAGGCACTGGCCATGGGGGGCTCGTCCTCGGGGGGGCGGCGGGGGCAGGTACGGCGGCACCCCCAGCCTGCGCAGGTGGCCCCAAAGGCCTTGCGGAAGCGGCGGTTCATGAAGCAGTAGATGAGGGGGTTGGTGCAGGCCGAGGTGTAGGAGAGCAGGTGGATGAAGGCGATGGGGGTCCCCGAGAGTGCCCGCTGGGCTGCCCGCGGGGCAAAGGCACGCCAGGTGTTGGCGGCGAAGATGGGCAGCCAGCAGAGGAAAAACATGGCCACGATGACCACCAGCATGCGGATCACGCGCCGCTTGGCCGCCAGCTGGGCCCCCGAGCTGTTGATGCGTGCCCGGTCCTGCTGCGCAGCCGCCCCCAGCGCCCGCAGCTCCAACGCTGCACCCGGACGTGACAGCTGCAGGTAGCAGCCGTCACCCTCATCGCAGGTGGGCGCTGGGTCCCCCCCAGTACCACGCTGGGCTGTGGAATGAGGAGGCATGGTCACGGCACTGTAGGGGCACGCTGCAACACCATAGGAGCATCCTCCAGGAGCACATGGAAATGGCCATGGCACCATGGGGACGTGCTGCACCCCAAGGCTACAAGGAGGTCCCCAGGAAAGGGGGGTGTCCCTGAGGAACACACCACTGTGGGGAGCAGGGGTGAGGACTCAGCCCTGCCTCTTTTCCAGGGGCGGGTACTCTGCCCACACAGGAGTCGTACCAAGCATCGCGCCCAGCATCACCCCCATCCCCTCACCTGCCACGTCCCTCTTGACGTCCAGCTCGAAGCGGATTCCACGGTAGAGCTCACGGGAGATGAGCCCGTACGCCACCGTCATCACCACGCCCGGGATGAAGAAGAGGACGAGAAGCAGCAGGACGTACCTGGGACAGGTGGCCCCCGTCACTCGGCATCCCCTCACCGCCGTGTTCCCCCTCCCTCCCCGGGACTCACCAGACCTGCCGGACACGCTCGCTGGGCCAGTGGTGCGTGCACTGGGCGGGGGGCGGGCGGGGGGCCGTGGGCCGCGTGGTGCTATACACGGCGTAGGGCAGCATCAGCAGCGCTGCCAGGGCCCAGGTGCCCGCGATGACACGGCAGGCGTGGGACCGCGTCTGCCAGGCGCGCGACTGCAGCGGGTTGCAGATGGCACTGTAGCGCTCGATGGCAATGGCCACCAGGCTGAAGGTGGACACGGCCACCGAGACCCCTGTGGGTAGCAGGGCACGTCAGTGGCCGTGGCGTGACGCTGCAGGCCCCCACCTCCTCCTGAAGCCTCCCGCTATATGTATTCCACGTACCCACGGGGTAGGGATAAGCCCCCCGCACATCCATGGGGTAGGGACGAGCCCCCTCCCCGTGCCCCCACGTGCCAACTAGGTAGGGATGAGGTGGCCCCACTGTGCCCCACCCTACCCATGAGGTAGGCGACGAGCTTGCAGACGACGTCGCCGAAGATGAAGGCGCCCATGAGGCCGGGCAGCAGGGTGAAGGGCATGCAGCACAGTGCCAGGAGCAGGTCACTCAGTGCCAGGGACAGCAGGAAGCAGTTGGTGACGGTGCGCAGTCGCCGGTTCAGCGCCAGCACGGCCACCACCAGCGCATTGCCCCCAACGCTCAGCACGAAGATCAGCACGTACAGCACCACGCGCACCGCCACGTCCAGCTCTGTGGGCAGCAGGACAGCTGCTTTGGGACCCTGGGCACACCCCAGAGACACTCTGAAAGCACTCCCGAGGCCACCATAGAGACGCTCCCACGGCACTCCAAGGGTAGCCCGGTGGCCCCCCAAAGGTACCCCAAAGGCCCCCCAGCACAGGCCCAGGTGCTGGGATGCCGGGGCTCCAGCGTGATCGGCACGGGCTCAGTGGAGACACACCAGATGAGTGCATCGTTACCCCCCGTGTGGCAACCGCCGGGATTTGGGGCGAACCCCACGTACCTCGGCTCAGTTCCGTGAGGCTGAGGGACCCTCATCCAGGTGAGTGCTCCCATCCTGCCCACCCTTCCCCTCGGTGCTGAGCCACGGCTCCCCTGGCGGCGCGGGGACCGGGGACGTCCAGCCCAGAGAGCAGAGTGACAAGCCGGAGCAGGGGCCCCAGCCGGGGGGTGGGATGGGGTTAGGAGTCTTGGCTCTGGTGGTGGGGCAGATGGGGGCGTCCCAGTCGAGGGTCCAATTGGGGGTCCCAGCCCCGGCAGTGGGACAGGGGTGCGGGGCGGGCGGTGTCTGTGTCCGTGGCGTCCCTGTCGGAGTCTCCTCCGCCCTCCTGCTGCCGCCGGCGCAGCCCGGCGTGTTCCCCCCAGGCAGCGCCGAGATCCGCATCGGGACCACCGGGCACTGCCGGGGCCACCGAGCCCCCGCCCGGGGATCGGGGATGATGGGTGCGATGAGGGGCGGGGGGCGGCACCGGGCAGGGGCCGGAAGAACCGGAGCGCAGGGCGGCGGGCAGCGGGGGCACGGCGGGGCGAAGCGGGGTGCTGGCGTGCCGGGGGGCGCAGGGCCAGGCACCAAGGGGGTCCTTTCGGGTCCTTTCCCGGGTCCATCCCGCTCCTCACCCCCCGCCTCCGCTCTCACCTCTGGGCGCTGGGGGCCCGCGGAGGCCCCTGCGGAGGAGGTCGCAGACCGAGCCGTTGGTCCCGTTGCCGGTGCCGGGTCCGTTCCCGGTGCCGTTCCCGGACCGGCAGAGCATCTCCTGCAGCGACTCGTTGAGGGGCCGGGGGTCCATGGCGGGGACCCCCCCGCCTCCCCCCGCCCCTCCTCCGGCAGGAGGCACCGGCAAGGATCAGGCACCGGGAGGCTCCGGGAGGGACGAGGCTCCGATCTGCTCGGAGCCGCCGGTGGATAAGCGGGGGCGGCGCCCGGCGCGGGGCGGGCCGGGGGCGGGGGGCGGTGGCGGCGGCGGGGGGAGCCCGGGGGGTGCTGGGGGGCGCGGGGGAGGCGGGAACAGGGGGAGCCCGGGGCGGGGGGATCGGGCGAGGCCATGGAGAGTACCGGGAGCGGGGCTCGGGGAGTACCGGGCTGCAGCCGGAGTCCCGGGCGGGTCGGGTAGCTGGGGGGGGGCTCACCGGGAGCGCTCCTGAGCGAGTGCCGCCACCGCGGTGCCTGTCACCGCGTCCCTGCGGCTGCCCCGGGACGGCCCAGCGGGGCTGGGGGTCCCGAGCTGCTCACGGCTCCGAAACTCCACGACCCTGACCCGTCCCCATCCCGGTTCCTTCCCCGTCCCGGTCCCCGTCCAGCAGCAGCAGCTGTCAGTGTCACCCGACAACAGCGGTCGCTGCTGTGTCCCCCTCCAGGTCACCCCTCAGTACGGCGGAACTAGTCCCGCGGCACCCCCACCCCTCGTGGGACCCCGACCCTCCGAGCCCCGGAGAGATCATGCACCCCTCTGGAACTCTGTGACCCGGAGGGACCCTGTGCCCTGGGGAGAGTCTGTGCCCCACTGGGACCATACGTACCACTGGGACCTCGTGCCCCAGTCTGTCTCTGTGGCCTGAGGGGACCCCGCACCATGGGGGTACCATGTGCTTTGGGAGGACCTTGCATGTCGCTGGGACCCTGTGCTCTGCGAGGACCCTGTGCCTCGGAGGGGCCCTGCACGCCAGTGGGACCCCATCCTCCTGCAGAACCTGGTTCCAGGGCAAGACCCTGTGCCCTGGGCGCACCCCGCACCTTGGAGAGACCCTGTTCCCTGAGGGGACCGTATGCCCTGAGGCCACGCTGTGCCTTGGCTGGATGCTGCGCTCCGGGGGGACCCTGTCCCTCAGGAGGACCCTGTGTCCCGGCAGGCGGTGAGGCCGCTCCCGCTGCTCCGTCTGTCCGCGCCGCTCTGTCCCGCAGGTGCGGCCGTCTCTCGAGGCGCTGGACGCGCAGGGCCATGCGCAGGGCGCTGGCCTCCAGCTGTGCCAGCAGCCGGGCTGCCTGAGTCTGGAGCCCCTCCAGGGCCAGCTCCAGCCCCTGCAGCCGCCGCTCCGCCTCCGCCTCGGCCGCCAGTGCCGCCGCCTCGGCCCCGGTGTCGAGCCGGCCCATGCGCAGCAGCAGCTCCCGGCCTTTGGCCTCCATGGCAGCACGGGCACGGGGGAACTCGGCCAGCACCTCCGCCAGGTCCTCCTTGCCCAGGCAGAACAGGTCTGAGTAGCCGATGCTCAGGATGTTGGCCGTGCGCCGGTTCCCCGCCGCGTTGCCTGTGGGGCAGGGGGCCGTGAGCCCAAGGCGGCCGCGGGGCAGCATCGGGGCGCAGCGTGGAGCTCACCCTTGATGTTGATGAGGCTGATCTCCCCGAAGTAGAGCCCCTCGCTCAGCACGGCCAGCTGCGTGACACCGTCCTCGGCCACCACGGCCAGGCGGCCCTCGCGGATGAAGTACATCTCGCGGCCCACATCCCCACGCCGGCACACGAACTCGCCGGGGCCGAAGACCTGCGGTCGCAGGCGCAGCACCAGCTGCCGCAGCACTCCGTGCTCCCAGCTGCGGAACAGCCCGACTCGCCGCAGGGCCGCCAGGTGCACGCTGGCGGCCACCTCGGCCCGCAGCCCCCGCGGCAGGAGCTGCAGCACCTCCCGCTCCGCCGGCAGCTTGCGCTGTGCCCGCAGGTGCTGCTGCCAGCGCACCACGCGCGCCTCCAGCCGCCCGCCCGCGCCCCGCGCCCGCAGGTACCGCCGCACCGGCCCCGCCTCGGGGTAGAAGGCGGTGGTGGCCGTGCTGAGGTTGACGATGACGGTGCTGATGCTACCGGTGACGGTGGCGAAGCCCAGCACGGCCAGGAGGAAGCCGGCGGTGAGGAAGAGGAACTCCTCCTCGCGCTGCGGTGCCGGCGTGTCTCCCACCGTGGCCAGGACCAGCGTGGAGAAGTAGAAGCTGTGCAGGTATCGGCGCAGCGGTCGGGTGGAGCTGGGGCAGACCCAGGGATCAACGCCCAGCCCCAGGTGCGCCGACAGTGCGAAGTAGAGGCAGCCGTGCCAGTGGATGCCCAGCAGCAGGTACAGCATCAGCTTGGCCGTGCGGAACACGTTGGGCCATCCCGTGCGTGTCTCGCACCGGTCGAAGGCCTCGAAGAGTCGTGGCACCCGTAGGCAGCGGTTGGCGCGTGCTGCTGGCACCCCCGGGACCCTCGGGACCCCTGGGAGCAGACAGAGCAGCTCGGTGGGCAGCACAGTCATCACGTCCCAGGGGAAGGTCCAGGAGCTCAGATAGAGCCGCCGCGTCCGGCTGAGGTCCCGCACCAGGATCCCGTCCTCTAGGAAACCTGAGGGGGCAGCCAGGGCAGCCGTGGCACCACAGGGACCCCGGGCTGGGGGGGCCGGGCTTGCTCAGGACCTGCCGGTGATGGGAAAGGGCAGTGGGGACCGGGTGGGTGCCAGCATGGGGCATAGGGAGGACCTGGGGCACAGGAGCCTTGGATGGGCACCCTGGGGAAGATCACCGGAGGTTCCCTGGGCTGCCATGGGGCTGAGGGGGTCAGCGGTGAATGCCCAGACTCAGGACCACCCACCCAAACATTCTCTACGGGAGGGTGGGTGGTGGCTGTGCCGGGTGGGAGTGTGTGCATGTGTGTGTGTGTGTGTGTGTCGATCTACCTCTGTGTGTGTGTGTGTGTCTATGTACACACCCGTGTGTGTGTGTGTGTGTCGATCTACCTCTGTGTGTGTGTGTGTGTCTATGTACACACCCGTGTGTGTGTGTGTGTGTCGATCTACCTCTGTGTGTGTGTGTGTGTCTATGTACACACCCGTGTGTGTGTGTGTGTGTCGATCTACCTCTGTGTGTGTGTGTGTGTCTATGTACACACCCGTGTGTGTGTGTGTGTGTCGATCTACCTCTGTGTGTGTGTGTGTGTCTATGTACACACCCGTGTGTGTGTGTGTGTGTCGATCTACCTCTGTGTGTGTGTGTGTGTCTATGTACACACCCGTGTGTGTGTGTGTGTGTCGATCTACCTCTGTGTGTGTGTGTGTGTCTATGTACACACCCGTGTGTGTGTGTGTGTGTCGATCTACCTCTGTGTGTGTGTGTGTGTCTATGTACACACCCGTGTGTGTGTGTGTGTGTCGATCTACCTCTGTGTGTGTGTGTGTGTCTATGTACACACCCGTGTGTGTGTGTGTGTGTCGATCTACCTCTGTGTGTGTGTGTGTGTCTATGTACACACCCGTGTGTGTGTGTGTGTGTCGATCTACCTCTGTGTGTGTGTGTGTGTCTATGTACACACCCGTGTGTGTGTGTGTGTGTCGATCTACCTCTGTGTGTGTGTGTGTGTCTATGTACACACCCGTGTGTGTGTGTGTGTGTCGATCTACCTCTGTGTGTGTGTGTGTGTCTATGTACACACCCGTGTGTGTGTGTGTGTGTCGATCTACCTCTGTGTGTGTGTGTGTGTCTATGTACACACCCGTGTGTGTGTGTGTGTGTCGATCTACCTCTGTGTGTGTGTGTGTGTCTATGTACACACCCGTGTGTGTGTGTGTGTGTCGATCTACCTCTGTGTGTGTGTGTGTGTCTATGTACACACCCGTGTGTGTGTGTGTGTGTCGATCTACCTCTGTGTGTGTGTGTGTGTCTATGTACACACCCGTGTGTGTGTGTGTGTGTCGATCTACCTCTGTGTGTGTGTGTGTGTCTATGTACACACCCGTGTGTGTGTGTGTGTGTCGATCTACCTCTGTGTGTGTGTGTGTGTCTATGTACACACCCGTGTGTGTGTGTGTGTGTCGATCTACCTCTGTGTGTGTGTGTGTGTCTATGTACACACCCGTGTGTGTGTGTGTGTGTCGATCTACCTCTGTGTGTGTGTGTGTGTCTATGTACACACCCGTGTGTGTGTGTGTGTGTCGATCTACCTCTGTGTGTGTGTGTGTGTCTATGTACACACCCGTGTGTGTGTGTGTGTGTCGATCTACCTCTGTGTGTGTGTGTGTGTCTATGTACACACCCGTGTGTGTGTGTGTGTGTCGATCTACCTCTGTGTGTGTGTGTGTGTCTATGTACACACCCGTGTGTGTGTGTGTGTGTCGATCTACCTCTGTGTGTGTGTGTGTGTCTATGTACACACCCGTGTGTGTGTGTGTGTGTCGATCTACCTCTGTGTGTGTGTGTGTGTCTATGTACACACCCGTGTGTGTGTGTGTGTGTCGATCTACCTCTGTGTGTGTGTGTGTGTCTATGTACACACCCGTGTGTGTGTGTGTGTGTCGATCTACCTCTGTGTGTGTGTGTGTGTCTATGTACACACCCGTGTGTGTGTGTGTGTGTCGATCTACCTCTGTGTGTGTGTGTGTGTCTATGTACACACCCGTGTGTGTGTGTGTGTGTCGATCTACCTCTGTGTGTGTGTGTGTGTCTATGTACACACCCGTGTGTGTGTGTGTGTGTCGATCTACCTCTGTGTGTGTGTGTGTGTCTATGTACACACCCGTGTGTGTGTGTGTGTGTCGATCTACCTCTGTGTGTGTGTGTGTGTCTATGTACACACCCGTGTGTGTGTGTGTGTGTCGATCTACCTCTGTGTGTGTGTGTGTGTCTATGTACACACCCGTGTGTGTGTGTGTGTGTCGATCTACCTCTGTGTGTGTGTGTGTGTCTATGTACACACCCGTGTGTGTGTGTGTGTGTCGATCTACCTCTGTGTGTGTGTGTGTGTCTATGTACACACCCGTGTGTGTGTGTGTGTGTCGATCTACCTCTGTGTGTGTGTGTGTGTCTATGTACACACCCGTGTGTGTGTGTGTGTGTCGATCTACCTCTGTGTGTGTGTGTGTGTCTATGTACACACCCGTGTGTGTGTGTGTGTGTCGATCTACCTCTGTGTGTGTGTGTGTGTCTATGTACACACCCGTGTGTGTGTGTGTGTGTCGATCTACCTCTGTGTGTGTGTGTGTGTCTATGTACACACCCGTGTGTGTGTGTGTGTGTCGATCTACCTCTGTGTGTGTGTGTGTGTCTATGTACACACCCGTGTGTGTGTGTGTGTGTCGATCTACCTCTGTGTGTGTGTGTGTGTCTATGTACACACCCGTGTGTGTGTGTGTGTGTCGATCTACCTCTGTGTGTGTGTGTGTGTCTATGTACACACCCGTGTGTGTGTGTGTGTGTCGATCTACCTCTGTGTGTGTGTGTGTGTCTATGTACACACCCGTGTGTGTGTGTGTGTGTCGATCTACCTCTGTGTGTGTGTGTGTGTCTATGTACACACCCGTGTGTGTGTGTGTGTGTCGATCTACCTCTGTGTGTGTGTGTGTGTCTATGTACACACCCGTGTGTGTGTGTGTGTGTCGATCTACCTCTGTGTGTGTGTGTGTGTCTATGTACACACCCGTGTGTGTGTGTGTGTGTCGATCTACCTCTGTGTGTGTGTGTGTGTCTATGTACACACCCGTGTGTGTGTGTGTGTGTCGATCTACCTCTGTGTGTGTGTGTGTGTCTATGTACACACCCGTGTGTGTGTGTGTGTGTCGATCTACCTCTGTGTGTGTGTGTGTGTCTATGTACACACCCGTGTGTGTGTGTGTGTGTCGATCTACCTCTGTGTGTGTGTGTGTGTCTATGTACACACCCGTGTGTGTGTGTGTGTGTCGATCTACCTCTGTGTGTGTGTGTGTGTCTATGTACACACCCGTGTGTGTGTGTGTGTGTCGATCTACCTCTGTGTGTGTGTGTGTGTCTATGTACACACCCGTGTGTGTGTGTGTGTGTCGATCTACCTCTGTGTGTGTGTGTGTGTCTATGTACACACCCGTGTGTGTGTGTGTGTGTCGATCTACCTCTGTGTGTGTGTGTGTGTCTATGTACACACCCGTGTGTGTGTGTGTGTGTCGATCTACCTCTGTGTGTGTGTGTGTGTCTATGTACACACCCGTGTGTGTGTGTGTGTGTCGATCTACCTCTGTGTGTGTGTGTGTGTCTATGTACACACCCGTGTGTGTGTGTGTGTGTCGATCTACCTCTGTGTGTGTGTGTGTGTCTATGTACACACCCGTGTGTGTGTGTGTGTGTGCCCACGTACACACCTGTGTGTGTGTGTCCATGTACCCCCCTGTGTGTGTGTGTGTGTGTATCCATGTACACACCTGTGGGTGTGTACACACCTGTGTGGCAGTGCACGGCGATGTCCAGCAGGTACAGTGCATCGCTGAGCCCGTCCAGGGCCCGCCACAGCCCGGTGTGTGCCTCCTGCAGCTCGGGGAAGCAGCACCTGGGGTACAAGTGGCATCATCCCTGGGATGGGGCCAGGGCACCCCGCAGCCCCACCCAACCCAACTGCTCGGCACCTGAGGATGAGGACGACCCAGTTGTAAAGGATGGGCAGCACCATGAGACTGATCCATCTGTAGTGCCAGTCCCCGGCGGGGTCCAGGGTCCAGTTCCTGGGGGTGGCAGTGCGGCTGGGGGGCGCAGACGAACCTGGGCTCGCTCCATCCCCATTTGGGACCCCTCTGCCCCCCGTTCAGCCCCGGCTGTCAGTGGCTCTAAGGCTCAGGCAGCTCCCCCTGCACCTGTGGGGCCGAGGGTGTCCCTGCGGTGCCCCTAGCCCCGGCCCCACCGAGGGTTGCTGCTCACCCCGTGGCACGTCCGGCGGCTCCAGAGGTGCTGCGGGGCTGGAGCCGGGCCCCGCGGCAGGACGGGAGGGAGCCGAGGGTCCGCATCCTCCGCAGCGCGGATCCCGCTCGTTCCGGTAGCCGGCGGTCCTGTGCACCCGAGCTGCTGGCAGGAGCCGCCGCCTGCCCCGGTGCCAGGCGTGGCTCCTCAAGGGGACCCAGCCAGGCGGCTCCCGCGGCACCGGGCTCGTCCTTAGCAACGTGCGGTCCGCAGGGACACCTGCGCCGAGGCAGCCACGGTGCCAGGTCCACCGGGCACTCTGGGGCCCGGGTTAGTCTCCAGTAACAACAGGCGGTGCCAGGCAGTGCCCTGTGCGCGGGTGGTGCCGGTTCCCGGTACCCGGAGCGCCTGCCAGGGCCGGGCACAGGGTACCCGCTGCAAGGTCATCCGGCACAAGAGTGCCCGGGGTCAGGCAGGGCCCGTTCCGGGGGTGCCCGGGAGAAGGGTTCTGGGGGGTCCCGGTACCGGGGCGCCCGATTCCGAGGTGCTCAGTTCCTGGAAGTGCAGTGTGCAGGGGTTATCTGGTGCAGGGGGTCCTAGTACAGGGTTACCCGGTACTGGGCTGCCCAGTTCTGGGGCTCGCAGCACAGGGGTGCCTGGGCCAGTGGGGTGCCCGGTTCCGGGTGCTGCTCGTACTGGGGTTCTCGGTGCCGGGATTCCCAGCACCTGAGTACAGGTTACCGGTGACCGGCTCGGAGAGGTTTCCGGTTTCTCGGGATGCCCCGCTCCGGAGGGTGCTCGTAGGGGGTACCCGGTGCCGGGGTGTCCCGGTACCGCCCGTCCCTGTTCCCGATTCCCGGTTCCCACGCGCTCCGGCCCCTCCCGGCCCCGCCCCACTCTCGGCGTAGCCAATGAGCGCTCGAGCTCTCCCGTGCAGGCCCCGCCCACCGAGGCGTGCGAGCGTGTCCCGGGCAGCGGTGGGCGTGGTCAGCCCCGCGGTGGGCGTGGTCAGCCCCGCGGTGGGCGTGGTCAGCCCGGCGGTGGGCGTGTCCAGCGCGCGCGGTGCGTCGGGCGCGGCGGGAAGATGGCGTCGGGAGCGCGGGGCCCGCGGCGGGGGCGGGCGGTGAGCGGCGGCGCTGGGGCGGACCGGGAGGGGCCGGGGGGCGCCGGAACACCGGGAACGGGGACACCGGGAGCGGGGTCACCGGGAGCGAGGTGTGCGGGCAGCGGAGCGGGCCTCGAGGCAGGTCCAACCGCCCTTCTGCTCCGTGCCGGGGTGCCCGGGCCGCCGCCCGCCCTTGGCCGCGCGGGGCCAGAGGGACCGGACCGGCTCGAGCGGTATCGAGGGTGAGGGGCCCGCGGCGGGGACGGGTCCGAGCGGGTCGCGGTGCCGTGGGGCGGGGGGCCCAGTCCCGCTGGGGTCCGCGGGGTCCCGGGGGGTTCCCGGCCCCGCGTCCGACGCCTCCTCTGCCCTCCCCAGGTGCGGCGCTGACGGGACGGGACCGTCGCGACCTTGACCCAGGTAGGCGGCCCGGGCCCGGGGCATCGAAGGGTCCCCATGCGTGACCTCGGAGCATGAGGGCGTCCCGGTGTCTCCATGGCTCCGGGATAGTGGATGCCCGAGCTTGCGGCACCTTCCGCGGGACCGCGGCCCCGGCGCTGGGGCAGCTCCGGGCTGTGACAGCCGCTCGCCTCACCCGGAGCACCGGCACCTACCGCCCACGGCCCTGCCGACCCCCCGGTGACCCCCGCACCGAGCTCCGTTTCCTTGGGGTGCTCATCGTCATCCACAACCTCCCGGCACTGGGTGCCATCCTCTGCCCATGGTGGCCGTGCCCCCGTCTCCCCGTCCCTGCCCGGGTGGCACCTGGCTGTCATCCTGTGCCCCCGCTGTCCCTGCCTGCAGTGTCCCTTTCCCTGCTCTGGTGGCCCCTGATCACCCCGCAGTGCTCTGGCTGCCCGCTGCCCGGGCGGAGGCTGCTCCCCACCGCGGCCCGTCCGGGTGCCACTGCTGTGGTGCCACGGCCCGTGCTGTGCCCCGTGGCGTGGTCCTTTGGCATGTGGCAGGCACAGCCAGGTTGGGGTGAGGGGGCACTGGTACCAGCACAGAGATGGTGACAGCTGGTGTCCCTGTTCCACCAGTGTGGTTCTGGCGGTGCGTCTGGCAGGGTCCCTGTGCTGGGGATGCCCCGGTGTGCCACACCGTGCCTTTGCCTCAGTGTTCGTGCTGAGGCCGCGGTGCCAGGTACCAGGGCTGGCACTGTCCTGGCATTCAGTGGCTCTAACTTTAGCAGCCACACGAGCGCCGGCTGTGGGTGGGATGGGCTGTGCTGGGTATAAATAGACAGGCCCTGCCCATGCTGTGTCCCACTGCCCCAGCTTCAGCCACTTTCCATTCCTGCCCTGTGGTTTCGGGTGTCTTTAATGACACTTTCACTTCCCCAAGCCCCAGACAAGGACTGTGGCACTGGCTTTCAAAGCCATTTCCCTTCCCACATGCTGTTGGGGGACTGGGGGGCCCCTGTGCTGTCTCTTTGTCCCCAGGCACGCCAGTGCTGCTGGCTCTGGGGGCTCTTAGTGCTCAGTCCCGTGCTGGTGTCTGCAGTGGCAGTGGTGGTGCGAGGGCATGGGGCCCTGTAAATATCCTGGCAGCGCTATCACACTGCACTGGCCATGGGTGCTGCTGAGTATGGGGGTGGGCAGCTGTCCCAGCTGTCCCGGTGTGCCTGCGGCTGCCGGGTACTCCCCACACCCATGCTGGGCCGGTTCCCGGTTTAAAGTCCAGTACTGGGTGTGAGCAGGGCTGGGATCAAGAGTCCTCCAGCCGCCACTGCTCCAGCATGCTTGCCCAGCCCAATTCCCACTGCTCTGTCTCTCCTGCCTGCCTTTCCTCTTGATTGCCTTCCTTTCCTCCTGGCTTCCTTCCTACCTTCCCTTCTGCCTCCCTCCCTGCTGCTGGATGTGAGGTTGGGCTGGGGGGTCTCTAACAGCCCCTTTTCCTGCAGCCTGGCCGCTGGCAGCAGCATGGAGAAAGGACCCTGGCGTCCCGCCCGCTGCCCCGTGCCCCCGCGGTGGTGCCAGGCCGCATCCAGAGCGGTTGGGGTGCCCCGGTGCTGTCCGTGACCCCGTGCCGATGGAGAAGATGAGCTGGCTGAGCAAGCTGACCCCACGGGCGGGTGGGCAGCGAGCCCCCCGCAGCGCCAGCCTGCAGCCCCCCGTCACCGCTGACCCCGAGACCTGCCTCATGGTCTTCAAGAACCACTGGGCACAGGTGAGCGGGTGGGGGGGCAGTGAGGATCCCCCGACCCTCCAGCCCCCAGCCCCCACTGCAAAGCCCCCTCCCACAGGTGCTGCGGATCCTGGAGCGGCGTGGGAGCAAGCCAGCCCCCGATGACCTCAGCGCTGTCCGCAACAACACCTACCAGATGCTGAACCTGCTGGCTGAGGACCGGCCCTGGGGGGACGGGGACAAGGACAGGTCACAGGGGGACGGGGACGTGGCCTGTGGGCCCATCCTGGAGTTTGTGGCTGCTGAGAACCTGCTGGAGCGGCTCCTTTGCTGGCATCTGCAGGGCGACTTCACCGAGGAGAGGAAGGTCTGAGTGAGGGAAGCAGAGGGGTCTGCAGTGGTGGAGGGTTTGTGGGGAGGCTGGGACAGGCTGGATCCAAGGGGTGAAGGTGGTGGGTTGAGAGTCAGCCAGGCCAAGGGTAGGGCGCTGTCCCAGGGCATGTTCAGGTTGGAATGGGGTTGAGACTACTCGAGCCATCCTGAAAACTCTGTGATGCTGGAGGAAATTTCTCATGGAAAGAGCTGTCCGGCCCGTGTCACAGATGGCCCAGGGCAGTGCTGGAATCCCCAGCCCTGGGGGGATTTCACAACCTGCAGACACGGTTCAGTGGGTGGTTCAGTGGGCTGGGTTGTGCTGGAGGACCAGCTGCACTGGGTGGTCTCTGTACCTTTCCCACCCTGTCCTTGTTGCCAGGTGGAGCAGCTGAAGCTGTACGAGATGCTGATCAGCCAGGCCCGGCAGCCCCTGCTGCGGCACAAGCCGGTGCTGACGCCGCTGCTGCGCCTGCTCAGCGTCTGCGCCGAGCCCGCCTCGGCCCCGCTCGAGAACAGCCTGGTACTGCTGCTCAACCAGCTCTGCGTCTCCGTGGCCCGCGAGCCGGCCATCCTGGAGCTCTTCTTCCACAGCCACACGGACCAGGGCCCCGCCAACCTCATCATCTTCTCGCTCCTCATCCCCTTCATCCACCACGAGGGCGCGCGGGGCCAGCAGGCGCGTGACGCGCTGCTGCTCATCATGGCCATGTCGGCCAGCAACCGCGCCGTGGCCCAGTCCATCACCGACAACTCCTACTTCTGCCCGGTACGGCTCCCCGTGTGGCATCCCCCTCCTCGGGGTGATGCCTCTCTCCCTGGCATGGTGTCCCCCCACCCAGGGTGATGTCCCCTCCCTGGGACAGTGCTGGGACCCTGCACTGCTGGCACGGAGTTGGGTTGGGCTGCTGGGCAAGAGCCGTGGACAGGCCTAGAGGAAGGAGTCGTGTCCTGGCTTGGGGCTGGTGGGGGGTAGGGCTGGAGATTATGGGGGGCTTGGGAATGATGGAAGCTGGGTGACGGAGAGCTGGCAAATGATGGAGAGCTTTGGGCTACAGGGCTTGGAGATGATGGGGATCTGGTGGTGATGGAAGGTCCTCAAGTGATGGGGGACTTGGAGGCGACAGAGTAGCCTGGAGATGATGGAGAGCTTGGGGATGAGGGGCCTGGAGACATTGGAGATGATGGGGCGACTTGGTGATGATGGGAGGCTTGGAGGTGGTGGAGGGCCCAGCACTGGGCTGGTGATGAGGGGGCCACTCCCTGGGGTCAGTGGTGGATGCAGGACCCGGCCCAGCTGCCCTGCCTGGTGCGCTGGAGTGGGGCAGGTTTGTGGGAGGCAGGTTCCTGGGGTCCGGGGAAGGCCAGTTGGGTCCAGCAGCCGGAGGTCCGAGGGGCTGCGGGGCAGCCGAGTACATGTGTTCCCAGGTGCTGGCCACGGGCCTGAGCGCCCTGTACTCCTCCCTGCCCCGCAAGATCGAGGTGCGAGGAGATGACTGGCACTTCCTGCGGCGGGAGGACTGGATCGGCGTCTCCTCCCTCGTCCTCTTCATGAACTCGCTTGAGTTCTGCAATGCTGTCATCCAGGTGGGGCTGAGGGGCTGCGAGGAGCTGTGAGGGGCTCCCAGCCCCATAGGGGGCTGCCTGACCCCCCTGCGGCCCCTCAGGTTGCCCACCCGCTGGTGCAGAAGCAGCTGGTGGATTACGTCCACAACGGGTTCCTCGTGCCCGTCATGGGGCCGGCGCTGCACAAGGTGAGGGACCCCTGGCAGTGGGTGTGGGATGGGGGTCTCCTGCCCAGAGCACTGCGGGTGGGCAGGGCCCCACGGCACCCGTCCCTGTGGCGCTCAGCTCCACGTGCCCCTCCTGCAGACCTCAGTGGAGGAGATGATTGCGAGCACAGCCTACCTGGACCTGTTCCTGCGCAGTGTCAGTGAGACAGCGCTGCTGAAAACCTTCCTGCGCTTCGTGCTGCTGCACCGGCACGACAACACCACCATCCTGGACACACTGGTGGGCCGCATCAACAGCAACTCCCGGGTGAGCCCCGTGGCCCCCCAACATCCCCATCCTCATCCCATCCCCAATATTCCCCAATAGTCCCATTCCCATTCCCATCCCCTTTCCCTGCCGTGGGGGAGTGGCACTGCCCCCTGCGTGCTCCTCTGATTCCCCACACTGTCCCCAGCTGTGCATGGTGTCCCTGAGCCTCTTCCGGACCCTGCTCAGCCTCAACTGCGAGGATGTGATGCTGCAGCTTGTGCTCAGGTAACAGGGGCTGGGGTGGGGTGCTGAGGGGGTCACCTGCTGCTGGCCCACTCTGGGGGCTCCTCTGGGATGGGCCTGGGGAGTTGCTCCCAGGTGGGCATGTGGATGTGAGGCAGCCACATCATTTACCCCACTGTGAAGGGGCTGGTGTCCTGTGGAGGGTCCCTGTGTCTGCCCTGTGCCACCCTGCCCCCAGGTACCTGCTGCCCTGCAGCCACGTGATGCTGAGCCAGAAGCGGGCGGTGCGGGACCTGGACATCTACGGGAAGACAGCGGCGAAGTTCCTGTCGCTCATCCCACGCTGCTGCCGGCCTGAGAGCCCCCCACCGCCCCGTGACCGGGACGAGGAGCCCCCTTCCCGGGCCAGGGGTATGCCACTGCGGTCCCCCAGAGCCCCTCCACACCGCGGCTTGGTGCTGAGCCCCACCCCACCATGGCCCCTTGGACCCTGTCCCGACACTGAGCCCTCTCCCTGCATCCCTGCAGCCCCTCAGACTCCCTTCCTACCCTGGCTGGCTGTCCCATGCTATCCCTGTGGCCCCTTAGGCCCTGTCCCCCTCCTAGCTTGATGCGGAGCCCTCTCCTGGGGTCTCCGTGGCCACTTGTAACCCACTTCTGCTCCAACTTGTTGATGAGTCCCAGCTGTGCCATCCCTATGGCTTCCCCCCCCATACCCT